AACAATCTCGTGTTTTTATTTATCACCGACTACGACACTTGCAAACGTTTCCATCAATATGACTACGTTTACTCTTAAAATGTAATTCTGACTCATAGTAGAAACTGTTTTCGCTCGTTTAACCTTGTTTATTTCCATTGCAACACCACCACATATTCGTAACTTTGACTCAATAACTATATTTCATAAAGCGTAGCAGTTTCTTTCCATATAAACACTTTCAGTTTACTTGCTTCCATTGGTGGCACATATTTTGGTATTGATTAACGTTTGAGACCTTATCTGCTTTCTTGTGAGGCACTACCAATCTTGCACTAAATGATGCGAGATATCATTTCTTGTAAGCGAACATGCTGCCCAGAGAAAATATGTGGCGTTTTTATAAATACCTTACCTCTACTGGCTTTAGTTATTCTGTTCTACCATAGGTTTATAACTATCGGTAAGTGACCACAATTTCTCATACCAGAATGTCGTCTTTCTTATGCCTTTTATTAGGTTGGAAAGAAAATTTCCGTCGTTCGGATGGGAATGTCGTTTTTTTTCCGCTTGAATCGTGCGTGATTTTCATTTCATGTGAAGGGCCTACTTCTTGTGCATCTATTGATATATAATTTGTCTACATCTGCTATAGAATAGAATTGTCCAAAGAACAAAAACGTTTGTTGTTGGCCGAGAAGTACCCAGAAGTTGTACGTCAAAAGCGCGCTTTGTTTCAGCAAGACAACGCAAAACCACACAGCCAAAAAGACCAAGGCAAAGTTTGAGGAATTGGAGGGAGTTGAGATTCTACCGCATCCACCCTATAGTCCAGACGTTGATCCATCTGATTACGGCCTTTTCCGATCTACGCAACACTTTTCGGAAGGTCGCCAATTTGAATCTTTCGATGAAGTTGAAGAAGCATGTCAAGAATTCTTTGATTCAAAGCCGAAGGAGTGGCACTTCGATTAGATCCGAAACCTGGCGGACCGATGGCAAAAGTGGTGGATAATGATAGCCTGTAATTTGATGAATAGTTGTTGTTGTTTGTTGTCTGAATATGTGTATAGATTTTAAATGTTTTATCAAACGATGGAAACTTTATTTCCACCTAGCAACTTGTCTTTTCTGCTAGTTTTGCTCAAAAATTCGTGTTTTGTTTTTACACGACATTATTTCATAATAATATAAGGGAACGTTGAAGGCGGACCCACTCGGTCAAATCCTGCTGTTCTTTATGAATTACTGAATTACCGAAGTTTTCATCGAAATTTCGCTGCACCTCAACTGAAAATATGAGCAGGAGCATTTTACTCGTAACGGGATGTCGATAATCGCTAAATTAACTATCGGTTCATATTAGAATGCTCTGAGAAGATCGTAGTTTCGGTGTAACGTTAGTCAATAAGATCACCGAGCCGATGAGTTCTACATCAAATACTGACTTTCAGAGAGTATTGTTAGTTTGATATTTTGAAGCTAGGCGGTCCTCAATTAGTCATGTCATTCTTGATCCTCTTTGAAACGTGTCTTCCTACTTGACCCATGACGGTTTGGCTCCCTCTTTTGAACAATTTTCATTATTTTTTTTATTAGACCTACTATGTAAATTTCTGACGTTATCATTCCCTTATTTGGTGTGAAAGCGTAAAGTGCTCCCTGATGAGAAACCCTCAACGCATGCGGGCTCCAAGTACGGTACGAGCTATATAAGACTACTTTCTCACATTGATTCACTTTGGCGCAAGACCTGCTTCCTACACTTGATGCAATCAAACGGTAGCCTATCTAACATAGATACCGTGACTGCCATCAACCGGGAACGGTTGTAATCTAAACTTGGAATTGTACAGAAAATTCCGCCTTTCACAAGTTCATTTATTGGTAATTTGACAGGCAGTTTATTGTTATTTCAATCTTAATCGCCGTAATGAATCATAGTTACTAAGATGTGAAAGTATAAAAAGTGCTACTGCATAAGTTACAAAACCCTTCCAAATGTTCACAATAACATGTTTGTATGATAGCCATTGTAACATAAAATAAGTAGTAGTGAACATATCACTCATACTCATTGAGTATTAAACCAATGTGGCTTTTACAAAGCTGTCAATTTCCTAACCCTTCAGGTCCTTCAGTTATCGAAAAATTAACGTTTGGATAGAGAAAAAAAACCAGAAAGTCCATAGGAAATGGGTATTCGTTGTACAACATAAGGGTAAAAACTTTGAAACCACGGCGGGTTAAGTATTGAAGTTTTCCACTGCATTCGACTCCGTTAGTAGCGTCCTAGAGGTGCTACACGTGATTGGGAGCAGATTAGGTCCATAAAATGACTTTTGTGAGCCTACCGATGTATCATACCAGCGTTTTTAGTACTTTTGAAAAATTTGGTGTCAGCTTAGCACCCAGAAATTTGCAGAGAATGGCGGGATGAAAGGAAGCGCTAAAGTACCGTTTATCATCAAGCTACACGTGCCAATGGCTTTTTATTGTAAAGAAGAGATGAAGAAAATGTAATTATGTTCTTTCCTCCTAGAATGAAATATTACCAGTCTTATGTCATACTATGTACCATCTAAATTATCTCTCACTATTTTGTTTGCTTATCCTTCTCATTCGTCATCTGCGTTCTTCAGTGATAATTAATTTTATTGTCAAACCAGCACCTCACTGACTATAGCACAAGCGCTGAACTATGAACAGTGAGGACGAGTGTATCAGTGAAGTTTTCGCGTTCTTATCGGTTCTTATAGCTCTGCTATCGACCGCTCTTTTACAGACCCGCTCAAAACGATTTAATTTGATAAGGATATGACATGTTTTGAGCCGATAGGTCTAGTGCTATATAGGCGCCTATTTCGTCCTATGGGACTCATCAGTAGCACCCTCCCTCGGTTCATTCTAAAAGCCGCAAGCTCGACTGCCGGTCACCACAAAGTCAGGTGATACCATCATCCTACTTTGGGTGCTTAGTTTTTACTCGGCGTCGATTTCTTTAGAGGATTATTTAACCTCAAGGGATCGAAGGAACCGAGGGAGGGTGCTACTGATGAGTCCCAACAGGACGAAATAGGCGCCTATATTGCACTAGACCTATCGGACTCAAACTTGTCATAATCTTATCAGATTGGTTCTTGTTGCGTTAAAATTCCAACCAATGGGTCTTATACGCTCTCACTAATTTACATTTGCTGTGATTTGAAAAGAATACAGCAATTTTCATGTTTATCATCGTCATTTCTACGCCATGTGGTCCTAAATAAGACACCTAATGTGCGCATAAAAGAGACTCACCTATCTACTTTTTCCACGTTTTATGTAACATTGAATTTCTGTTGTTGATGGACATCGACTATTTCAAATGGAAATAGTTAAGAGCACATCTTGAAAGAAGTCCATGTAATAGATTTCAAATTCTTTGTGATCAAGCTAATAGTACGAGGTTGATAACAAACTTTATTCCGTTATCGTACACACGTTTTCGTCTTTTTTAGAGCCGATAATTTGAGTCGACTGTCTGTAGTCGTTCGCCTTCGCATTGTGAAGCATACTTCAAATCTTTATAATTACCGAAGAAGGAGAGCATGTGGAGCAGTGGTTAAAGGTCATTAACCGAAGCTCGATAGTCCCATCCCACGCTCAAGGATCACCAAACCTACCATCTCTCTGGGATCGGTAAACTTGATGCCAGGCTTGTTTGGGGGGAAAACAACACCGACTCGATACATCGGCAGGTCACCGCAAGTCATTGTAAAAGCCAGATATGCATTCAATCACTTCAGGCGAAGCTAAAAAAAAATTGAAGAGGATTACATGACGCATCTCTCAGGGATTGTTCAGCGTCGAGAGTTTTATTCTATAGTGAAGGAGATAAAAGTTGAACGACAATGAAGAGGAGCAACTAGTGGAACTGTGGACAAATATGTTGAACTACTGGATTCGGAAAAAAGAAATCGAAGACGTTGCAGCGACAGCCAGCTAAAGTTTAATGCTGACCTTATGGTGTTAGCTTAATCTCAGAAAAGATTATTGGTGATGCTGAGGTTATAGGTTAGCCGGTTTCCAAAATATTATTATCCTTGACGTAATGAAATGGCACCGTGTTCCCTACAAGGATCGTTGCTAGACAAGAGCGCTCGTTTGAAGATTACATATTACTCACAGTGGCAACAAATCTCTGTTAATCTTTTATTTCTGAATCGCTCTAGTTTATGTCGTTCAGAAAGTCGTGATCTCTGTAATCAAGCATAATCTTGTTTCCTACCGTTTACTTGCATGAACTGGATTTTTTCCTTACCTTTTCAGTGTTCTCTAGCTACTCCTCTTAATTCCCCATATTTCTTAAGATGATGGCATTCCAGTTCCAAAGCAGAGTATCCAAAGGGATATTCGGCATACTAAAGTCCTTTTCGTGAAATTCCAGCGATTCCATTAACATCTAGTGTTGGAGGTAAACAACTCTAGCGAGCTTTGTAATTCTCAAACTTGAATACCTAATGTTAATTCAACTTCTGCTTGTAGATCCCGCTTTACCATGGAGGTTATAAACAAATAAATTTGCAAGTTTGAGCTGCATTTAATTACTTCGAATATGGGAAAAAAATATCCATAGCACTTTCTTTCGGATTTAGTGCAAATCCAGAAGCATTGAAAGGAAATAAAATATCACTCTACGTAATTTTCAAGTGTCATGATTTTTTTTTATGCACCGCCAAGTTTGAATCAAGTGCGTTATCGACAAGATGTAATTTGATGAAGAGAAAGCTGCACGGAGCAGAAGTGCATGCCGTGAAGTAAACTTGCATATCTCAACAGATAAGATGTTAATAGGCTATTGGCTTCAGATTCTTGAAAGGCTCCGGACACTTTATACTTAGGCGGATCTACACGGGTTAACATCTTATGGAGTCTTAAAACTATCCATTTATTACTCAGAATTCATTTCATTTGACCTCATTTTGCGGTGGTATGATGTTAAAATAAAGCCAATAGTGTAGAGTGGTGGGTAAAACATTTGCGTCAGCCGGGATTAGAACCCAGAACTCACACTTCCCTGGAGCGTGTACTGAACCGTTGCACCACCGACGATCGTTTTGCATGGCACTCTTTTTACGCTACAACGTGTTATCTGTCGGCAATTCATTTGATATTTCATAAATAAGTGTGTAGCAGAATCTTTTCGTGGAGCGTTCCACATAGCCAAAAATCCGAACGGTTTGGAAATTGTTTGATTAGAAATTCTTTTAGCAACATTTTAGTGCTGGCTAAAGCAAAAATTCTATGTAAACTTCTTATGGATTGCTGCTAATTCTTTTGAACGAAAATACGTCTATTTTACTTTCTTTTCGTGAATGAACCTTAATTTCAAATCATTCTGAACCTGTGAGAAGTTCTTTTTAATACTTCATTTATGATTTTATCTTTAGTTCTACACAAACAGAAACACATCAACACACATATATGTATATATGTATATATATATGCATATATATATATATATATACCGAGTTTTTCTCGAATTTCTCTTGCACATCTCCTTTCTTGAGTTCTTTTTGCTATTTTTGATCAAGTCTTGCCTAAGGGCTGATGTATCTTTGGAAAGATTGGAGTGGCAGTTGGATACGGCCGTAGTATTATCGCTCATCTAAATAAATTGGGCCACCGCAAAAAGATGTCTCGATAAACACCTTATGCAAAGCCCATGTTCCACGCTCGGAGGTTTATGCCCTCGATTTTCTAGGATTGGCCCAAAACAATTTAATCTGTCATCATCTTTTAAGTCTTTCATGAGGCGTATTATGGCGCTTATGGCTGTAAGACCCAAAATATGATGTCAGATTATATTATTTTGAGCAAGATCTTGAAAAACAGTCGAGGATAGTAATATTTATTCAAATTACCAGGCATGAGCGCCCGACTGTAGCTCACTACAGTGTCGAATGATGTTAACATTAGACACATAGTGATTTGTTACCTCTGCAGTGTGAAGTAACTTCTTTACCTTGCTCGTGTAGTGTGACGTCTTCGTCGTCGATTCCCATATATGTAAGGGGTTAATATCCTTACAGCGGATTGGCTGAAACGAAAAGCACCGTGATACGGATGATGCTATGAAAGCGAAACACGTGCTTAGCACTATATAAGTGCCATAACAGACCACACGAAAGGCTCAGAATATGATACCAGATTATGTTGTCTTGAGCGAGGTGTGAAGTAATAGTCGAGTATATAAATACCTATCTATTCTACTAAATAGGATGAGTTTAGCATTTTTGAGCGGATCTCAGTCGTTTGTTGCATAAAGTAAATTATTCATAGATTGTTTTCTCTGAGTGAACAAGCCCGCTTCTATGGTTGTTGACCGCTACATTTTTTAGTGGTAGCAAACGACATCATACGAATTCGTTTCATATTAGGCTCCGTAAACAACTGCAGACCCTCACGCCCTCTTAACCATATGATTGGTTTTTCTATCGCTGATTGAATATATGAGGCTCCGCAGTTTCTTCTATATAATAACCCTGCGTTTTCCTACCATTTTTTGAACATTTTTCCTTAGTTTAAGTGACCACACCTCATATAGTGTGTGAATTGCTCGTCTGTTTGAGCCCCTTTTAACACTTCTATTATACAGCTAACTCCCTGTCATCAATGATTTATGAAGCCCTCCGAATTTGCGTGTGAACTCGACTGCTACTTGAGAACTTTGTGTATTTCTTGAGTGTTGGTGATTGATGAAAGAGTTGTTTTTTTTTGCAGTTCTCAGCTTACCCTACTACGAGAATTTTATGAGTCTTTACCACAGATTGTGACCAATCTTTTAGAATTGCCACTAGCTCTAGCTTTCCCCGAATAAATACAAAAACTATGATACCAATTTATTAATCTCTTAAGAGGCCTTGATAAGAGTAACAAGGAGGGGGAGGGGCTCAAACAAACGAGCAGTTGCGCATTTAAAACCCTGCCGTCCTCAGCGAATTCACTTCAAAGGCAATGGATTTTCTCAAATAGAAAACGGTAAAAAATGAAAATCTGGGATCTTCATAGCACAGCTCTCTACATATGTTAAAGCAAACGCAATCAGTCATCTTTGTATTCTCCAAGTTAAAGTGATCAGAAGCTTGTAAATAAGTAGCACAAAGTGCATTGTGAGGTGATGAGGACTCATCTTCAACAAATGAGTTCCTCATTATCCGCCCTGAGACAGGCTTCAGGGGACGTGTGTGTATTCAACCCCTGAGTTTAAACCTTAAAAAGTGGTTGTAAGTACCAAAAGCCAAACAGAGTAAATTGGTTGGGCCTCATATCTGTGGTCCTACAAAAGCTCCTGTGGCAACGTCGGAAAGGACGAGTACGGTGAGGTAGCTGAAATCTCAGAGCCATTTTGAGCTACCCAAATCTTGAAATATTATGGTGGTGATTTGTGCCTATGGTCTATATATAATCTCGTACCGGTCCTTCATAGACGACCTTTCATTTAGACAAGAAGGATAATTTACGACGTAATCGAACTGCCTGAGATGCGAAGACGTCTCCCATTTCACGCTGTCTGTGACACCGGAGAAGCACTGTTACTTATATTATGCTATAATAGAGGAATCGGTGACAGCGTTTTCTTCGACACGAGTTGGGCTATAAACATCGGCTTATTTTAAAACTTAAGACTTCAATCCAATACTTACGGTCGAAGCGATGTAGACCTATAGTGGCTTTGACCGTCCCTGTCGTTTACACACCAACAGTAGGTTATGACTAATACTCATTTATTGCGTTGTTCTATATGGAGTTGAAGAAGCTCTACAACGAAGGGCACACTTTCTTCAAAATCACTGTTCATTTGAGGCGCTAGGTTGGACTTGAAGAAGGCCTGAAAATCACCATTTTGAAACTTCCACATGAGAATTTGATGGGTAGGACGAGACGCTGGCTGAGTCAATCATGACAACCACGACCATTCATCATAACTGACAGATCCAGAGGCTCTGTCTTCAGCACTAAGGACGGAAATTTTCCAGTGGGCGTGCTATAACGAAATAAGCCGCATCCTTGTGAATCGAAAGTATCGTCTAAGCGATGCCGCTGTTGCTTCATGAGTTTTACACCGGGCTGCACTATAGCCTTTCTGCGCAAAACTCCACTTTTACGGATAAATAAAAAAGCCACTAAAAAAACTAAAATTCTAACTGCTAGCTAGAAGAACTAGTCAAGCCATTTGTAGTCTCCTCTCTTCTAGAATTTGACCTGTTAATTCTTTGATGGAGAATCGAGGATCACCTGGTCACGCAAGGTGTGACCTGGACACTTGAACAACCTTCAAGCCATCCTCATCAACGACCTGACTCGGCTGTATACAGTTCACCTGTCAGAATGCTAAATACGTATTTAATCAAAAACCATCAAGACCCCACTACTGTTAAAAAATTGTAGACCTACACAATGTCGACAAGTATCGCATAATCTGCTTGCTGTCTTTCGTGTAAAAACTCTTCAATGAGTCTACCTGAAATTGACTGACAGACCACCAGACGAAGGATAGTCATGCTATGAGACAGAGTCGTATAGTCCAGTGTTGAGTCGGCACAGCTCTCGTTAATAAGCGTGAATCAGCAATAAGGTCACATTTGGTTACCCTCCGTTTTTTGATAAGCAATACTTTTTGCCGCCACTCTTTCAATTATTTCGATAAGAATAATCATTTATCCTAGATTTTTTACAGATGACTGGAGCTTTCTTTGCTAACCATAGCGACAATCATTCTCAGTGGAGATGTTATTCTATCTGCTTTTTTTTTTAGAAGACAATGTCAGACTTTTGGGATTTGCAGCGAGAACACTGGAAAATATAGAGCTCCGCAACCTGATACGTTTCTTGAAATTTAGAATATGATACTGCTTCATATTGAACACTTAATTTGAAAAACCATTGCCAAATGAGAAAAAATCAATTGGAGAGACTACTGCAATAGTTGATCCAGACTGTTAGACGATTCTCTTCAATCTAAATTCAAGAAAATTGCAATTCCTGCATTCACACGACACAAGTGTAAATTTAGGTAGTTTGATAGGGTTATTTACAAAACATTCTCGTGTGAGGTACAACGTAGAGAGCGAACCTCTTTAGCCTTTTAAAGCCGGAAGTGATTTACTTTAACGCAAGTGAAGACGGATAACAATGTTATCAAGACGTAAATGGTAAGAGAATGCGTGCTGATCATCGGAAAATTTTCCAAGGCACTGACGTCCAATCAGTTGCGGAGAGACTCTTCAAACGTTGACGCAATGTTTATATTTGAGTTTTTGGTTTTTTGACATTAGCTTTGCCGCAATTTTAGAGAACTCTTGTGGTTGTTAAGGCTCTCTATTATTCAAGCTTTCCGCTAGCTTTGCATTATCTTTCTTTTACTACTGTAGTAAAATCGTTTTTAGAGAGCGGTGTAGCGCGTTTAGAGGTGCGCTGCAATACACATTTGGCCGTTAAACCGATCAAGTACTATATGCTAGAAAAGTCTCCCATCTTTATTTTACCTTTATTTCGAGTGCTTTATTAAGACCACGCTCAAATTTCAATAGATCCTTTCGTTATTATTTGAGCCAAGTTGTCATGTGGTCTGGTAATGGCTCTTGTGCAGCCCGATACACGTGTTTCGTCCTTACACTTGTTTTCACTTGACATAGAGTGTAAAATGTTCGTCTTCGATGACTCTCTGTAAGGGAGTAGAGTTCCCGAGTGAACTGACTATAAAAATATCGAAAGACGGCGGGTTCTGCCCGACTAACGACTCTGTGGGGATGAAACACGTGTATCGGGCTATACAAGATCCCATACCAGATCACATGACAAGTTGGCTCAAATGGTAATGAAAGGATCTCCCATCTTTCCTGTGTTGGCTCATCTGGAGAAAACTTTCCTGTGTCGGCTCATCTGGAAAAAAGAGCACTAACAAGACTTTTTAGCATTTCCACACAAGCCAACTTATAGGCTAAATATGCATTCATTCTACTTTGGAATCGGATCTGTGAAACACACTCAAGACGTTGATCAGCGACAAAACGTACTCTTTAGAATTGATGGAAGGCAATAAATCGATC